CCCCAAAACCCCAAAACCCCAAAACCCCATTGTAACTAAATATGCAATTTTGTTTGAATAATATTATTTTTAATTTAATAAGTTAAGCTTTTTATTATTTAATCTCATTCTCCACATATCGCAAATAATTTTTTAATTTTTTCTTTCATTATCCTTATTTTCTGTTCCTATTCATTTTATTTCATTTATAACTCTTTAAGTCTTGTTTCGTAGAAAATTTTTGTTGCTTTTTCTTTAAATCCTGTGAAAAAACGAAAATTATCAAAATTTAATTCTGGTATATCACTTAAATCTCCCTCCATAAAAACATCTCTAAAACTATTCCAGATCTCTTCTGTGATTGAATCCTCAAGAAATTGAAAATTGATTACGTATTATTCATTCATATCTACCCATTTTCTTCTAAATGCTAAAATTTTGTTGGCATTAAAAGTCAAACTGGTGTTATTTACTTCATTTTCCAGATCTTACAATTTTTCAAGAATTTTCTTTAGCTATGTATATTACTTGTCGAGTTAAAATTCCTAATTTTGGTTTTAGGGCAGAATACCTCTCATTTTTTCTTTTTTAATTTTCAAATACTCAAGCAAGTCTGAATATTTTGTAAATAAACCTTATTAATCACTGTAGGAACCATCAAATTTGCCTATTAGTTATTCATATTTTCCTCTTATTTCATAATACGAATTAGACATTTCTTTTGCGATTACATGAATGTACTCATCTTTATGATCATGAACTAATCTTTATTTATCATCTACACTTTTTTTGCAGAATATGCAATAAGCTATCTATTCAGGATCAAGATTACAACCATACAGACAAACATAGATTTTCTTAAAGTTATGAAGCATACACATTTCTAGGTTTTCTGCTTATTCTTCTCTTATGCCAAGCAATTGAAATGCACTTACGGAGTTCATTTTTTATTTAAATAAAGAAATTTTGCCAATACTAATTAAATAATTATTAGGAATTTATTGAGTCTATTTTATCCATTTTTTCCTATGAAATTTGCTTAATTTTAACTCATGGGGTTTTGGGGTTTTGGGGTTTTGGGG